AATTAAATAGTTACAGAATTTTTAATAAATAATTTTTTAATTATCTTATCTTTGTAAAATGCATCAACGTGTATACTATATACGTATTATGTATATGCAATATATAAATTCAAAATTGAAAATTAATTAATTTTTATTGAATGTTAACGCGAAATCCATTTAGCTTAAAGCAAATGCTATTGGACGCGGTAATACATACATCACTATTCTTATATTGAATAATTAAAGATAAAAATCAAAAGAACTGAACGTAATACAGCAGAATTTAAAGGGGAAAGGAGGAAACAGGTGTTGCAATAATAAATTTGTGCTTAGGTAATCCTTTTCAACATCTAATATTAGGCTTAGATTACTTTGGCATTTTTATATATACATGTACCTATGTGTAAATAATTTGATGAATTTGGTGGCCAGTAGTATTCTTTACTTTTACTTTTTTATGATGAGAGTTTTATCGAAAATAATGGAGTAATTTATTAGTTTTTCCTTTTCTGAATTAATAAATTTTCCCCTGCTATTTTTAGAGGAAATTAAAAAAAATAGAATAGGTTGATATAATATGTCAATTTTTTAAAATTTTGTACGTTGGTGGAAACAAGCCAAGTCAAATGAAATAAATGTATTATTTAAATAATTGTTAAAATTCAAGAACTTATATTACCTATTAAGAAGCAAACATTATAGTAGTACCAACATCAAGAATTTGATATAAAATTTTTTTTTTAGAATGTTGCATGTTCTAACTAAAATTTTAGGATTTTCTACACAGAATTTGGCACCCACATAGATCTCAATTCTTTTGTCGGCGCATATTCGTAATATTAAACTTGGCTTTCATTTCACATTTATGTTTTTAGTAGGATATCATTACTTTTCGTACAGAAATTAACAGTATTCATTATTAATACATTGTTATTTGTAACTACATGACGACTATACCAGCATGACAAATACATATAAATGTATCTATATTGCAGTTGGTAGCATTTGGTCACAAAGTAGTTTTTTAAAGAAT